CAAACCAAATAAAATGGATTAATGGAACTATAAGGTAAACAGAAAACATTAATTAATACTCAACCATAAAAATATTCCATATATATATTTGTTCTAATATTTTTTAAATAAATTATGGGAGTTCCGAACTTTTGGCTCATAATCTATTTGGTATCCGGAGACAATCTTTAGATATTCCGATTTTAAAAATAATTTTCCGTCTCAAAAAATATTTGAATCCGGGACACAAGAGAACCAACCCATTGTGTTACCATTTTGTTCTAACTAACATTGAATATAATTGATTACCCGCAAATTTTGTTCCACCTCTGCCCAAACGATACAATAGTACAAATTTACTCGTATGTTTATAAATATTCGCATATCTAAATGTATATAAGAAATGATTCGTGGACTTCCACTTCACCGGCCACATGTAAGAAAAAGAGAATCAAAACTATTTATATATAAAAAGATACAAAATAAAGATCGCTAAGAATATAGAATGGTGACATCTCGTATAAGTCAAGTTACTTTCTTTACCTGCAAGTGGGAAACATATTGAAGAAAAAAGAAACCGCATTGCAATAACAGATAGCTTCCTTCGAATATAAACCAACATTTTTCTTTGTTACTAGGTCATACAAAATAAAGATATAACAATGAAAACGAAATTTAAGTAAATTATATGATTAATAAATCCGAATTAGAACCAAATCTTCGATTAGGGACCCACACTATGACAACTGTCTTCCAACATTTTCTAACCATTACATATCCAAAATGGCAGGTTAGTTCACTCATCAAATCTCTCAACTTGTCTTCTCCTCAAATTTAAATGTAAATTGAAATAATTCTTTAGATCTATATATGTTAGAATTTATTATATTTATATTTAAAATATTGTATTTTCATGGTAGCGTAATAAAAAAACCATGAAGAGAGAGCTACTCATTATCATTATCATTTTCCTCTCTATATAAACACACAAGTTTCACTCTCACAATCCTTCATCACATTTTCATTTTTCTCTCTTCCAAAAACCACAAAATAAAAAATTCGGAAGAAGAGAAAATAAAAAATAATGATTGTTCACAAAATGGCGTTCTTGGCCGCTATTCTCATATTCTTTTTGACAAGCAGCGTTCCCGTTCACAGCCGCGAAACGTTTGCTTGCGATACAAAAGACGCAGCAACAAAAACGCTGAGATTCTGCCAGCTGTCAGTTCCGATACCGGAGAGAGTGAGGGATTTGATCGGACGGCTAACGTTGGCCGAGAAAGTGAGCTTGTTAGGTAACACTGCGACGGCGATTCCACGGTTAGGAATCAAAGGTTACGAGTGGTGGTCGGAAGCATTACATGGCGTTTCAAATGTGGGTCCCGGTACAAAGTTCGGTGGGGTCTACCCTGCAGCCACCAGTTTCCCTCAAGTCATCACAACCGTTGCTTCTTTCAATGCCTCCTTGTGGGAATCCATCGGACGGGTCAGATTATTTCTCTATCTCTCTCTATTTTATCCATTAAATTAAAACACCAATTTTTATTGTTGTGAGTCTTGTGACCGATCTAGTTATTAAACACTTCTGATTTTATACATTCACTGTGAAAATGACGTAAGTAAAAATCTTATTTTATGCATACATAATTGAACCCACAATAATTTAAGTAGCTACACAACACCATAGTCTGTGTATATATTTAATTTCTTGGTTCGA